GATTTTGGAAGGCGGAAAATGTTTATTTGTTCTTTTCAAATGCAAATTCTTACATTTTTGAGCAGTACATCTTCAAAGGCTTGGTACCTTAATCCCATTTCTCCTTTCCCCCAAAAGGCTCTTTCTTCTTCTTATTATTATTATTATTTATGATTATTACTTTTTTAAAGATCCCTAATGGCACAGTGCTTAAGCACTTGTCTGTGGACTAAGAGGATGGCAGTTCAAGCCCACCCTCCGCTCCCTCCCTCCCCGGGAGAGAGGGAGGCAGTGTGCTCCAGGAAAGCCAGGGGCCTCGGCAGCTTCGGGGCAGCCCTCCCTCCCTGGGGGTTGCTAGGGCCTCCCACGCGACAGCAGTGGCTGAGCTCAGTCGTTAGCATCTCGTGTTCCCACGGATGGCGTTCCCTGCTGGCATGATGACGGTGGTGATACAACGAGCTTCACGACACATCACAGTGAGCAGCAGTCCCCTTGCAGGCCTGATCACGTCCACGGTGGCTGCCTTCCAGGGGCTGTGCTGGCGTTTTTCTGCCCCACGGGATGCCCTGTTCTCTGTTTGGGGCCCCAGCTTGCTCAGAGAAAGCCCTGGATGCATGTTAACCCATTTGAGTGGGGATTGCAGTCATTGTTTTTACCAGTAGTTCACAGTGGTGCCCTGTGAGGGCAGGGACCACCCACTGATTGTGCCTGGAGAAATCTTAGTGTAGGTCATGGTGTTAGGGAACAAAACCAGCCACGTGTGTGTAAGAAAGAACTTTGCATGGAGAAGGCATCCCAGCCCCATCCAGCTTAAGTCCCCGGGCCATGCCAGCCAGAGCCTTCTCCAGCCGCATGAAGCTGCGGGCCACCGTGTGCACAGAAAGGTGCAGCGAGGTGCGGGGAGCTCACAGGCTGGTGGGTGCTGAGTCACTTGCGTTGGGGGTGGGGGTGGTCCTAGGTTGGTAGGAACGTGGCAGGGTGTGGCCAGCTCAGGTTGACTCCCAGGGTCAGCAGCCCACGTGGGGCTGCCCAGGAGGAAGCAGACACGGAGTCACAGCACACAGGGGCATGGGCAGAAGGGCAGTTCCCAGTGCCTCTCATTAAAAGACCCTCCCCCCAAGGAGGCGATTGGCGTCACGAGGCTGTGGTCTTAGTGAGGGGTTGGACTGTGCACACTTTGACACGGGGGCAAGTGGACGTGAAATCTAACACCCACAGTCTTCTCTAGAGGCTCGCCATGGCTCCAAAAGGAGCCCTGGTGCCGCAGGGTTAGGGCTGCAGTCAGCCGCTGGACCGCACCAGCCGCTCAGGGAGAAGGAGGGGTGCTCTGACCCCCCTCCCCCACAGGTTGTCTCTGTTGTTTTCATTTGTTAAAGGTCACTCTAGTTTTACCTGGGAAACAAAGAAGATGTGAAGCTCACACACTGTGAGAACACCTCTGGCTGGCAGAGAGGTGTGCAGGACACATGCTACTGAGGAGAGCATGGCTTCTCAGGAAAGGGCCGGGCCACCCTGGGAGGCTTACGGACCAGCCCCTGTGTGGGGGGGGTGGCGTGGGGGGGCGCCCTCTCGCACAGGTGGAGTGTGGCCCCCAGAACCCCAGGATGTGTGCTCACATGATCGGTGTGCATGTCACTGTGGAGAGAGCACCCCACTAGAGGCAGGCACTTTGGGGGCTCTGTCTTCACGCGGGTGGGGGTACTGAGTGGCTGAGGGTCTGGTCTCCCCGGAGTGCTGTTTCTTCCCCGTCTGCACCCTCTTCCCGCACCTCTGTTCGGGCTCAGAAGCGCTCCCTCCTCAAGACACAGACTGAGTCCGGGAAGCTGGCGGACGAGCTTCCTTCAGGCTGCAGGCCCCACAGAGCTGTCCCAGGAGGGCCGCCTTTGAGGGAGATAGCACCCACACAGGGTGTCACCCAGTAGAAACCATCAGTGGGAGCCGGGGATGGCCGTGCCCTCACAAGGACAGAAGACCCGGGCGGGCGGGCCAGGGCTGGAGCACCGGAAGAGGGCTGTGCCAACGCTTGTGAGGGCGTGCTGGCCCTGGCGCTGCTGAGCAGCCGTGTTGTGGCAGTTGTCAGAGGACCACCCAGTTTGCTGTGTGAGCATTCCCTGGGCTCAGTGCTCAAATTGGGGGAGGGGGGGCAGGGGGGCCCAAGCCAAGCAGTGCAGTAAGGAGGGCAGACATTATTTTTGAAGAGCAGGTCTTCATGAGACCGCTTGGTTTGAGAGGCGGGGGGGTGAGAGGGCCATCTCAGGCTTGCTCCCAGAGACCACTCGCCACTGACCCAGTGCCCTAAGGGAGTCCACCAGAGGCGACCTGGAAGCCAGCGGGGTGTCCGCTTCGAGGGTCCTGCAGCAGGTCCACTCATGCTGCCTGCACACTGGTGTGGTCTAGCCCCTGTTTCTGCCAGAGCGCCGTGTCCGGGCAGAGAACCCCAGCCCGTGTGGTCCCAGGACTGCTCCCCAAGCTCCTGTTTCGGGGAGCAGTGGGAGTTGTGAGAGAGAAGCAAATAAAGATTGGGTTTCCTCCACACACACACCCCACCCCCCCCACCACCCCCCAGCATCTCAGAGGAGGAGCGGGCAGCGGGAGCCCTGTCTGCAGACGCTGGGGGCAAGGCCGGGCCGTTGCTCGGGAGAGGTCAGACCCCGAGAGAGGCACTGTCACCAGAACAGAGTGCCCTGCCTGTCGCTGATGATTTTACAAGTTGTGTCTCGTTCTGTTTGTTCTAGGTGAGAAACCCTTTGAATGTCACGTCTGTGGGAGGCACTTCTCTCAGGTGGGGGCCCGCGCGTGGCTGTTCCCAACTGCAGCCCTGAGATGCCTGCGGGGTGACGTACCTGGCAGGACTGCTCTAGGGGCCACAGACCCCAGACCCAGCCAGGATCGAGTCGTTTTCCAGAGAACAAAGTTCTGGCTCACTGGGGGCGTGGGGGTGGCAGGGGGCTGTGTGCATGCCGGCAGGTGTGCGTGTGCGAGTGTGCGGGCAGACTCTCACCTCTCACCGTCCCTGTGGATTCTGCCCTTAAGACGGCTTGCTTCAGTGAATCAGGTTCCCGTGAAACACCTCAGGCGTCCAGATCATCCTGGGCCTGTCCAAGACGGGCCCCCAGAGGTGCTGTGGTTAAAGTGCTGAGCTGTTAACTGAAGGTGCAGACCCACTGCCGCTGCCCTCGCACTGGCCACAGAGACCCATAGCGGGCAAACCCTCGGGGCAGTTCTGCGGTGTCCATCAGAATCGACTCCACTGCAGTGGGCCAGGGCCAGGGCCGTACCATCTTACTGCATGGACCTTGTAGATTTGGGGTGTCAGGGAGAAGACCGAACCCTTTTCCCTCCTTGCTGACCGCCGCTGAGCTCCTGGGACCCACCCCTGAGCCTCCTGTTCAGCAGGCTGTGTGGTGCCAGGCCAGGGCCACGAGCCAGGTGAGGGCGTGCTGTCGAGGAAACGGCCCGCTGGCGCAGTGGCCTGGGAAGGACGTGCTCAGCCCGCAGTTTGGAGCAGCAACAAGCGCAGTGTGACAGGAAAGGTTCTGGAGCTGGGCCTTGGCCGAGGGTGTGTCCAGCTGTGTGCTGTGTGACCACCAGGCCTTTCTTCTGAGGGGCCGGTTGGAGGACTCTAGCCGCCTCTGGCTAGTTGGCAGCAGCCGAGTAACCTGTGCCCCCCGGGACGGAGCAAGAGAGGCCATCTGTCGGTGGGAGTCGGCAAGTGCATCATGCAGGACAGGCATGCTCCAGTGTCCCCGCGGCTGGCAGGCCATTGGCACCGGGGCGCCTTGCTTCACACACAGTGAGCACCAAGAGAGAGGGTGGCCATGGCTGCGGGTCTGGGTGGTCCTGAGAGGCAGTCTGTGCATGTTTTACAGCTCATACCTGAGCATGTGCATTCAGAGCACACTCAGGAGCCCCCGTGGTCACACGTTGGGCTGCTCACCGCATGGTCAGCAGTTTGAAACCACCAGCCGCCCCGAGGGGGGAAAGACGAAGCTTTCTACATCCGTGTGAGGATGGGCAGTCCTACCCTGTCCTGCAGGACCTCGGCAGGTTGGCACGGACTCCACAGCAGAGGTTGCAGTTTTTGAGCCGTGCTGCCAAGTGCAAGTCTGCTTGGGTGCATGGGCTTTGCAGACGTTTAAAAGGTGCTCGGAGTTGCGAAGGAGGGAGCAGGCGGCCTTGCCTGCGCTCAGTCAGAGGACGTCCTAGCCAAGCGGGACCGAGAGCGCTGAGGGGGCTGCCCAGCCAGCCTTCCGGGAGCTGCTGCTGGACTCTGCATCTCAGCAGGAGCTCAGAGGGGCCCAGGAGCACACCCTGAAAGGCGTGGCGAGCCCTTGCTCAGCTGGAAGCGTCCAGTCCTGGACGCCTGGGGGGGCGGGGTTTGGACCCTCACAGACCCCACACAGGTTTCTGCCCCCAACAGTGACTTGCCACGTTCTCTGCCAAGCCCCCGGTTTTTCAACTAGGAAGTAGAACTGGCAAGACCAGCCTCCAGGGGCCCAGGGCGCACAGCCCAAGTGAGCTCACCCACCAGGGCAGGCGTCATGAGGATCGGGCGTCGTTCCAGGACAAGCGGTATCTTCCCAAGCTTTGCCGACCCCTCTCCTGTCTGGTGATCTCAGATGACCTGGGGTCTTTTCCAAGCAGTAGGGAACACAGCCCACTGTCCTCACGTGAGGCCCGTTGGAACCACTGAGTCAGTCCGCCTCCTCGAGGCCCCCCAACCCCAGCTTTGCAGACGTGGCACCTGACCGTGCTTCCCCAAGTTCTCGCCCGCACACAGAGCCGGAAGGCTGGGGGGGCGGCAATCGCACCTTGGTTGAGTGTTCATGAAAACCACCCAGGCCCAGCACCCTCGGGCTGGGCCTCAGACCCACCTCCGCTGACAGCATGGCAGGGGCCAGCACAGTGTGTGGTGTGCGCTGCTGAGTGTCCCGGCTCCTCTGGGACTCTCTCTCTGCCAGTTCCACCCTCAGCCTACTTGAGCCCATTTCTGGGGCGTCTGTCCGGTTTTGTTGCAACAGAGCGCTCTCAGACATCCCGAGAGGGAATTGGCAGGTGGAGACGATGCACTTAGGTCCCAGCAGCGGAGGTTGTAAGGCAGTAGCTTTGGAAACGGCTGAGGCATCCGCGGTTGTAAGCTCCCTGCCCGTTATTGGTCTGTCCGTGTTCATGAGAGGTGCTCCGTCCAGCCTGGCGTAGCCAAGCCTCCGGGACACCCCAGGCTGGTGGGGAGCTGGCCTGCGTGGAAGGGCAGACTGCTCAGGGCAGGAACCCCTGGTGGCCAGCAGCACTCTGTGTCGAAAGACACGCAACACTGGCCACGCACACGGGCACTTTGCAAATCCCTCTTGGGGGCTGATTGGTGGTTCAGGGTAAAACACGTGTAAGACATAAAAGGGATGGGGGCAGACTTAGCACCCATATTCCCCTCCCTCATCCGTGCCCCCAGTGCTCCAGGACCCACTGGCAGAGAGGGGCTGTGCCCAGTACCACGGGCCTACGGCTCAGGGTACAGGGAGTGTCCCTGGCACGGGAGCTCCGCCTTAGAGTTGGCTCCCCAGACATGGGGGTCTACTGGGCAGCCCTCCAGGTGGACCACACCTGAGACAGACAGCTCTGATGACGGCGCCCTCTCCCTCTTGTTTCAGGCGGGAAACTTGCAGACGCACCTCCGCCGGCACTCCGGGGAGAAGCCGTACATCTGCGAGGTCTGTGGCAAGAGGTCAGTGGTGCCCCGGGGGCGTGTCTGTGGGGACACCCCCGAGGAAGGACATTTGGGGGGGACACTGGGTTTCACGGAGCAAAAGGTTGGTGCCGGTCCTGGCGGGCAGTGTGTGCTAGCAGCCGAGGGGTTTGCTTGGGGACAGGGTGGGCTATAGGGGCATGAGACCCTCCGCCCCGTGTGCCACACTTCTGCCCACACTTTGTGGCCACCTCCCCCATCCTCACAGCACCCTGTGTCCTGAACTAAAGCTGAGAGAGGTGCTGCTGCAGCCGCAAAGGCTGTGTCCAGCAGTCTTTCGATGTCACGGAATTCCAGGACACTACGCCCCTTACCCCCCGCCCCCCAGGTCAGTTAGCCCTCAGACACAAGAGCTGCCCTGGAGTCCTGCACTGGGCGTCACTTCCAGGGCAGCATGTGTGCATGAAGGCGGCCTACCGGCAGGGTCCTGGCTCCCACACTTGCAGTGAGGGCCCTCCCCTTCCCCCGCTGCTGGCGGAGCCCCAAAGCCGAGCAGGGGGAGGGCGGACCCTCGGCCAGAGGTCGGTGGGCAACACCACCTGCCTGTGCTTGCAGGGAGGGCCAGGTCGTGCCCTCTGTGACCCCGTCAGGGTTGTCCAGGGTCCTTCAGAGGGGGCCGCACAGCGTCCACAGCTGGTCAGCCAGGTTCCAGACTCCGGCCCAGCGCTCCCGTGAGGAGCACTCCAGAGCCAGCGGGGCAGTTCTGCCCACCCTGTCAGGCCGGGTTGCCGGAGTCAGTCTTCCTAAGGTTCCTTCCGGCGAGCCCTCCCCTCCCCAGCCCGTCGTGACGGCGCTCTCCCCTCACCCGCAGGTTCGCCGCCTCTGGGGACGTGCAGCGGCACATCATCATCCACTCCGGAGAAAAGCCGCACCTGTGTGACATCTGCGGCCGAGGTAGCACCGGCCCAGCGGTTCTTCCTGGGGAGGGCTGTCCAGCATGTCCCCGGGCTGACCACGCTGCTCTGCCCCACCCCCTCCCCAGGCTTCAGCAACTTCAGCAACCTGAAGGAGCACAAGAAGACGCACACGGCCGACGAGCTCTTCACCTGCGACGAGTGCGGCAAGTCGTTCAACATGCAGAGGAAGCTGGTGAAGCACCGTGTCCGCCACACGGGCCAGCGCCCCTACAGCTGCGCGGCCTGCGGTGAGTGTCCGCCAGAGCTGCAGATGGACAGACGGGTCTCCTGTCCGTCTGCACCCTCAGGGCACGCACACCACAGCCTCTGAGGCGTGAGGGGCCACCCCCGATCCTGGCAGAGGGCAGCAGACTGGTTCGGCCTGGGGCAATGTTGGGGACCCACGCTGGCCCATCCTGGGCTGTTCCCTGCGTGTTTCGTGCGACATGAGGTTTCAGGGCATGTTGTTAGCACACAGAGCTAGCGGGTCACGTTGCCTGTTCACCTGCACAGTGTTGGAACCAGGTCGGGCGCACGAGTCAGCCTGCTGAGAGCCACGTGCACGCACATGCATGCTAGAAAAGACCCTTTGCCGCCTACATCTGGGTGCAAGGATCGGGGGACTCGGGTGAGAAGGGGCCTTTTGCGCCCAGCTCTCTAGATGGCTCTGCGCCCCCGCCATCCAGTCAGCTCCCTGGCTCGAGCTCCCTGTCCTGGGTCGGGGACAGGGAGCAGGGTGGCCACCTGGGGTTTGGACTCCTGGCGCTCCTCCCAGCACTCCTGTGCTGCTCCCAGGGCCGCTCTGGGTACCCCCGAGACTTCCCGAGGCCCTCAGCCTTCAGCTCAAGCTGCCCTACTGGGCTACTTGTTGCTCCACCTGTCCCCCTTCACCACCCCGACTCTGGCCGGCCTACGGACACTCGTGCTCTGTCTCCAGGCCGCGTGCCCTGCTTCTCTCCCTGGACCTCCAGCTTGGCCACGTCTGTCTTCCTCGGCCCGTGTTTTCTTCTCTGTCGGCACACAGCTGCCCCATGTGGCTGGCCTTTCCTCGTTCTACCACGCACTTCTCTGGCCTAGGGGTCAACAGACAGCCGAGCAGACTCCTGCTAAAGTTTATATTAAACGTAAAATCAGTTCATCAAGACAGTGAGAAACAACTGTACTACAACTAAAATCCAGACGTATCAAACTGAAAGCCCATGCCATTGCCCTTGATGGGGACTTTGGCTGGTGGCCAGCACATGCCAGAGAGCACAGTGTATCTCTGAGGGGCCGGTCACCAGGCCTTTCTTCCATAGAGGCACTGGGGTGGTCAGACTCATGGCTCAGCTTTAATGGGGCTCTTTTAGATGATGCAGTGGGCAAGGGCCCTAAAAAACTGGACAAAGAGGCAAAGACCTTTGAATGGTGTTGGCAAAGATTATTAAATGTACCACGACCGCCAAACAAACCCCTCTGGGAGGAAGTACATCCAAAAGGCTCCTTAGCAGCACAGGTGGTGGGACTGGCGTGTGAGGCTGGGTCCTCTAGAGAAGCAAAAACAGCTCCTCTGTGCTGGAGGAAGAGGGCTGCATCGAGTCACACAGTTTAGAAACAGGCTAAGTCCAGTTGGGCGTCTCCTGGCTCGTGGAAGCTGCAAACAGGTAGGAGGATGACGAGGCGGAGACGGCGGAGGGCACAGGCCGGTGGAGGCTGAGTGAATCCACCGGCTGCGGTGCACCGAGGGCTCCTGGGATTGGCAGCCAACACGGCAGGAGACCAAATGTGAGGTCAGCCCCAGCAGAAGGTCAAGGGCTGTCAAGGATTCCACTCTGCTCTGCCCGCTCTCAGACAGGCTTATGACGCCAAGGAGGGGTCTCAGGCTGCAGACCCGACTGATGGGTGGAACTCCACCCCTACCCTGAGCCAGGAGTGTCTAGTTGACTTAACCTCTAGCCATCACTGGGTGTCACGGACTATGGACCTGTCACCAGGAGGCACCAGTCCCAGCACGGTGTCGTGCGTAGTAACCAGAGGGTCAGAAGAAGACCTTCTGCGAGATGCCGCAGTGGGCTTAAACATAACCATGGTAAGGCTGGCACAGAATGGGCAGTTTCCTCCCGTTCTAAGTGGGAGCCTGCTGAGTGACGACCAACAAGGACCCTAGACGTGCTCCTCCCTTTCCCAAGAATCCCCCGGAAACCAGGAAGAACCAGACGGCAGCTCTGTGTCCGGAGAGGCACATTAGCATGCTGGACGCGAGCCCGTGCTGGCCTCGCCCAGGCAGCCCCTCTGGGGACAGGCCCTGAAGCTGCTGATGGACCACAGTGGGCTGGGGAAGAGGAACATGCTGGAGATGACACAGCCAGCCAGCTGCCAGTCAGCCGGCACGGTGACCTGCTGGAGGTGCACAGAGCAAGATGCAAGAGTGCACAAAAACAGCACCTGGGCTGGGGCACGCGTGGCCAAGACTCCCTGTGCAGTCTGTGTTTCTTAGGGTGACAAAGGCCCTAGTCCCGCGGGTCCCAGTCACTCCCTGACCAGCGAGCCTGGCTCCCTTTGTGAATTGGTCTTTTGAGCCACACTTTTTTCCCCTTCTGGCCAGGACTTT